CCTGTCCCTAGACCATAAGAAAGCATCCTTCAAAGAAACATTATCTATTTCAATATCATTCAGCAGCAGTTTCATGGTGTATAAAATTGCTAAGCTTTTGCACTCATCCTGTAGGGAAGTCAAATGACTGGATAATGACTGAGAAGAGAAGCAATTGATATATACAAATCAACAGTAGCCAGGTTCTTGTCAGTATAGTTTACTGCAGATTCAAGGATGGTAGAAATAGCACTCAATGGTGAGAAAAAGCCTCAAGCAGTATTAACTATAACAATTTTTCTCAGTCAAATTTGTAGACCTCAACTTCAGTAAGTATTTCCCATCCCTTGTACATTCCAAGTTGGTTATCTGCAATAAGATACCAACACCTTAAGTCTGAATAATTTACTATATTGGCATTAGACTGAGATAAATCCTTAAAACTCAATATCTAAGAATTTGCTGTTGGTGATATTGAAAGCTAGTTTGGTGTAAGGCACTAGTCTAGTGACTAGGCTATAGAAAGTGAGACACTAGAAGTTCAAATCCCACCTTAGGCACCAGCCAGCTGGGTGATTTTGGGCTAGTCACTTTCTCTTGGCTCTAGGAAGTAGACGAGGGCATTCCCAAAAAACTTTGCCAAGAAAACTGCAGTCACCAGGAGTCAAAATTGACATGAAGGTACTCTTCCCAAATGACCATATTGAGTATCACTGTACATCTAAGCACTCAGTATTGCAAATTGCCCGGATGTTAAGCATGTGTCTGCAGTCCTTCAAGATGGCTTGATGTTTTTATGTTTTGTTTGTTTATGTTTGTTTTAAAAACCAATAAAAACTTTTTTTTAAAAAAAAAGAGAAGCCAAGTCAGAAAACAGATTCCACAAGAATGATCACAACTCTTATATTAGCTATAGTAACAAGAATCTTGAAACCCTGTGTTTTCTCTACCCTCCTCCTCCTTAACTCAAGGCAGTTAAGGCAGAAGTAGTATGAGTTTGTTTCTAATTGTCCTACCTACAGTAAAATAATGTTTTTAAATGGATCCAAGCAGTTTCTCCAAGATCATCCCTGTGTTCCCTGCATTTAATATCAGTAACCTCCTACAATCTGGCACTCTTTCTCGGGGGGAATGTGGATCAAAGCTCTGTTAGCAAGTTAACAATCTGGGTCTCCTGCTTGAGGGGGGGAGGGGGTTGGACTAGAAGACCTCCAAGGTCCCTTCCAGCTCTATTCTGATTGATTGCTCATTAAACTATAATTCCTAAGATGCACTGTGTGAAGTCAAACTTCAGGTTTGCTTAAAAAGTGACTATTCCCTTGAGTTGAGTTTGACTTGTTCTCTTGACAAAAGTCTAAAGTTATTTTGACAGATTTTTTTCCTACTGTTTGGTCTACCCTACAACCTAGGAATTTCCAAGTGTCACCTGCTAAGGCCACTGTCTGGAACCAAACAAAATTAACAATGAGATATGCCCTAGATTGCCTTTATTCTCTTTAAACACTGGATGCCACCAGCTTCGGCAATTAGCAAGAATTTAATAGGCTGAGCTTTTATAAATATATCTTCCTGCAGAGCACACTTGCCTAGTAATTCAGTTGCCCCTCAGATTTCTGTCCTTAAAAACAAAATGCTGTAACAATGCAGCATCAAACCAACAATACAAGCACTGCATCTCTCAGGTGGTTTCCAAATACTCTCTAAAGAAAAATAGTAGTGATTTGCTGCTCACAATTAATGTGAGGAAAGCAACAATAAAGCATTTTGGGAATAACTGCTAATTTTTTCAGGCTAAATTTTATGAAGTTTCCACGAGTTTGTCCATATTCAGGAATTTTTAAGAGCACTTTGCTCCAGTTTACACAATAATTCATGTTAATTGGCCAGATCATTTCTCATAAAAATCCTTTATCATTTATTTTTCTTATATGTACCCATTTCATGTATTCACAACTATGTATACACTTATACTTATTATCTTGTAAACAATTGGCAAATCAAATAAATAAAATAAATAAATAAATAAATAAATAGCAGTTTGTTTCAGTAAACGTGCATATTGCAAATCCATATTAATTTAATATCCCGAGTGCTGTCACACCTGTTAAGATAAAGGGGCGTCAAAAGCAATGCTATGCGATGAAATGTCAAAGCAGGGCTGATCAAAGCAAAGGCAAAACTTAGGGTGGGGATAACGAAACTGAGCAAGCATCCCCTGTAGTTAAGAGATATAATTCCATTACCACGACTCAATGAATAGCAGCTGAGAGGGGCAGGAGCCATTATTCTTATTCAAGCTCAAGCGGGCAGAACCCCATATTTTGATAACGCTCTATCTTAAATCCCTTAGAAATGGAGAATGGCGCCAAAAATGGGCTGAAATGCAGCAACAGAACCGCCCAGGCGGCTTCAAGGTACATATGAAACAAGCATCCGCGAACAAATGAGCCCCTTGGGCGCGCAGACCGCGAGCCAATCCAGCGCTCGCCCAAAGCCCAGCAATAAACAGAGGTGGAAAGTGTAGGCAGAGGAAGCGGGGAAGGACTACAACGTCCAGAAGCCCAGTGGGCGGTAGGTGTGCGCGTGCGTAATGTAGAAAGCCGGTGTGTATGTAACCTCTCCAATAAATTAGGTCGTTTCTTCAAGGCGGAGGCGAGATTTGGGGCGCGAGGTGGTCTGGGGGCGGGGAGACATCCTCTTTCCCTCCGCCTTGTACCTTTGGGTCATGCAACCAATTGCTGACCTTCCCTGCTGGGATTAGCAAAGGGGGGCGGACAGGGGTGCAGTTTGATTCTCCCTTCCCTTTCTCGGGGCTCTAGGATTTTTTTCCTTGCAAGAAGTCGTCGGAGTCAGGAAAAGGACAAAGGCTGTCGCTTTGCGGGCAATCGGCAAAGGTAACGCTTAACACGGGGTTTGTGGGCAGCTTGTCAGAAGTTTCAGTCCGCGGACTTCTAAAAAGTTTCGTGCCACTTGTACTTGTAAAAAGAGGAGGAGGGAGATTGAAATCAGCCCGGGGAAAATGCTGTCTTGATTCTCGGCGATCTCAAAGCAGATTGGGGGGGGCGGGGGGGGAAGCGAGTTGGATCTGAAACTCGCCGTTTGTAGTCGGGTATTGGGTTTTGTTGCCAAAAAAAAAAAAAAAAAAGCCGGGCCGCCGGGAAGTCGGTGCCGTTTCCCCACCACAAGCCGAAAGAAAGGTGGGCGTGAGTCGGAGATCAATAATGACTTGTATTGCAATCAATACCTCTTCTTTGCTCTTGTTTTGAGCAAGAACAGAGCTACAGGGGTTGTGCTGAGAAGATGACTTGATGTTGGCCAAGACGGCTTGAACCCTTTTGCACAGATTCAACTCTGAAAGGGGCATCCAGGTGTAGAGAACTTTAATGGACTGAATTATTTCCATGCTGGGGGAGCGGAATTATATAGTTAAATTTGCAGCCATCAACGGTATCTTGTTAAGCTGCACCTACATATCCCTAATTTTACACTGCAATATGTTTTTAGGCTCCTTTTTTTTTTTTTTTACAAAGGAGTAGGTGGGATTGTTGAAAAACAGTGGGTGAAGTTTAAATGTCTCCATGTTTCATTTGTTAATTTACTTTTTGATTTCTGCCTACCTTGTAGGGGCTGTCTGTTTCACTAGAGGACACTTTTCCTTGGATGAGAAGTCCAAGGATGGAACAGCCATGGTGGAAAGGAGACCTTGCAGCTGATGTTCATCAGACACTAAGACTGAAGGTTAGTTTAGACAGCTGCTTCCTTTTCCCCCCCTCTATCCTCTATTTTTTACTGTTGCTACAATTCAAAACAGGTACAACCGGCTGTTTAGTTGTCCTTCCAAAGTAACTTCCAAATAAGAAAGACTCAAGCAACTGGAAGGTTTTTTTTTAAATGACTGAAATTAAACTAAGGTTTCAGATTTGAAGTAACTGAGAGCCGAACATACATGGCAATTACTTTACTTAGGAAAGATCTGTTTGGAACAGATAGGTAATAAATTGTTATTAAACATATGTACTTTATGTATTAAGGAAGATGACCTTGACAGAGAGAGGCAAGGGAGAGGCTGAGGCTGAAGAAGGGTGATGCAAGTCCATTTATGTCTGTTGTATTACCTTCCCCTGTCCTCACATCACAATGATATCAGGCCTTGCATCTCTCTATCAGTGCAGTTCTACACATTTTTCAGCTGCAATCCGGCTGGCTGGATCTGCTATGGATGTAGTTGAACCACAAACTTGGTGACAGAAGTAAGGTGTAAAACAAGTTATGTAATGGAAAAAAACAAACCTGATAAAATGGAGACTGCCCTCCTCCCCTTCCCCCTTTCAAATATAGCCAAAGTCAAACCCAGTTCCTCTCTTTGCCTAATCCCATCATAGCTAAATTGACCCTCCCTACCTCCTGAAAGCCTATTTGCCTAACAATAGAACTAACTCCAAGGACAGTGCAAAGACCTGGGCAACTTTCCCAAAGGCCAACCAATCACATCCCCAGGGTTTCCTGTCTTGTATCACTCAATTACCATTAAAATCTTTGAAAATTTTGTCTGTTGTTCAGGGTTCTCTTTCAAGCACTTACCCAACATAATTGCAGTAGATATGGCTCTTCAGAGCTGTGCTTCTTCCTTTGACAAAACTCCACAGCAGTTATATAATTGCCATTACTATGACATCCATGCACCTTGAAGATGCTAGTATAATTATTTCAAATAGTGTGATAAGCATACATCTGGGGTTTTATTTATCTAACAAGGCCACCCATCTTACCTTCTTCAACTAGGGGATATATGGATGAAGGCTCTATTTAAGCACATTTATGTTTTTTTCTGAGTAAATATGGAAAGAATCACTTTCCATGGGAAAATAATAGACTTAGTACTCTTAACCATAATTAGAACCAGTAACTTGGTTGCTAAGCAGAAAATTGTGTGACTGTGATAGGCCTCCTGTCACTTATTGTCATTAGGTGATTCACACTAGTCATTAAGGGAGACATCAAGTGACCATGACTTGTGATTTTACTTCTGTGTTCTCCATTAACTCTGGTTTTCTGGAGCTAATTGGGAAACAGGCAAATGGTGATTCTGTGACCAACTATTCTAAATTCACACCAGTTGCAAAGTGCCTGAATGGCAATCACTGTGATATATCTAAACACATGAACAGATGATTATTTAATAATTTTGACAGTTTTATCTTGAAATATACTCTCTGAGGGGAAAATATTTTAAAAAATCTATATAGAGATGTGGCATAAGTGCAGGGATACATTCTTCGCACTGATTCAGGAGCCAATTTTGAAGCCCCAGGAGTATATGTGAACGCTGGTACATCTACAAAACCAATTAGGCTACAAAATAAGCATGGTTACTTGGTGCCAAATCTTGTTGATCCTTGGCTTGGTTATTCCTGAGTTGATCCATCAAACAAAGAAAGGTGGTCCTTACTCAAGCTACTATAGTTTTAGACCTAGAGTCAGCAATCTTCTCTTAACACAGTTGGATTTACTTCTCAAACCTGCAATGGAATCCACTGAATGAAAGATGACTATTGGTCCATTACATATCTCCTACAATTGTAAAGATTCATGAGAAGAGTTCCTGATACTGCATAGCAGATGTCTTTTAGCTCTGAATAATTCTCTGGTGGTTTTTAACCATTATGGCTTTGGTATGGAAATTTGCACTTCAGGAATATTCATATTTATGTCTGTTAAATAACCTACTAGTTGGGATAACCTTTTATTGCCAATACTTCATGAGAAAAAGACCTTTTGGAATTTTTTTTAATCTAGCTGTGTTTTTCAGCACACCTCATGAAAAACAAACTGGTTTATGTTTCTCAATTAAGATGAGTGAACTGTGTGACAGGTGTGTTTTCGAAAGCACACATGGCCATAGGTTGCACATTTTTCAGCTTCTTTTGATTTGGATATCCCATTGTTCATTGTGTTGCCAGTATTGCATATGCTCATGCTTTTTTCAAAGAAACATGCAGAAAAAAGTAAGCATGAGTTTGATCTGCTTTGAACATATGAAAGAACATCTCTTTCCTAATTTGCATTATTCAGTAACATAATGTGACTTGCAATAAGAAACAGTCAATGCTTAGAATCTCCTAAGAGGTTTTATTTCTCTAAATATTTACTTTGATATATGCTAATGTTGTCTTCTGTCTCTTTGAGCAGGCCATTTAATTTTCTTTTAAATTATTTCTCCCCGACTAGAGGATACCAGATTATTTTCAAAGGACCATTTCATTCTTGAAATGTCTTTTTTCCTTATTAGCTATAAACCACAATAAATTAACAGCTAATGAAGAGGATTTTGCAATAGGAGAGTTTTCCTAATACTTTCCATGTGTATACAGAAAAATATCATGAATTAGTGATCTCTGGTAGATCTTAGCCTGAAATTTTATTTATTTACAGTATATCCGCCTGTGAAGATGCTAAAGAATTCCACTACACCAATGGTGCTGCTAAGATCCATTTGCATTATTTTTATGTCCCACACCCTTTTTGATATACTTCAAGGACTTGTGGTTGTGAATGTGCTCATAGTGTCCAGAGCTGTCCAGTTTTCATAATTTCCTAGGACAGAGATATACATACTCTAGAATGGCCCCAGAGCTATGTTTCCCCCAGAAAGACTGACACCAAATTGTAATTTGTCATGAGATAGAAGAAGAATATTCATAGAAAGTAACATCAACTGTATTTGAATTTAAACTGAGACCAAATTTATTTTTACTAAGTCCAGTATTTGAAGTCTGGTACATCACATCAAAACAAGTAGAAATCTTAGTATAAAGCTGATTGTGTACCTCTGCTCTGTGGAGTTGGACACCTCTGGAGAGTGCTAGGTAGCAGAAACAGATTTCTTCTCCCACTCCCCACCCCCCAGCCCAAATATTCTCCTTGGCTTTTCAGTGCCTAATTGATGAAAGATAAAACTATGTTTTCTCAAAGCCTGAAAGACAGTTGTTAACACTGATAACAGTGTTGAAGGATTAGCGTTATGATTGCTCCTCCCATTTATGTCTAGTGAGTGGGGAGATCTGATCTAATTGGAAAAATTAACACTACCTAGGCAGAAGCAGCCTATTGGCTAGACATTTCTATAGGCTGGTTGCAGGTGTTACCTGTTTGCATAGATTCAAACATACTGCAGCTCAGATGGTTTCAAAGCTGGTTTTTTCCCTTCTGTTCTAATATCTAATGAAACATTTTCCTTTTAGTGTTTAACTGAACACATGATGTCTTATTGTTGGATATTAACCATACACCTTCCAGTTAATATAAAACATTTTCAGCAATCAAGAAGACGTATATGATACCTACTCTCTCTAATATAGGATTAAAAATTAGGGGTACCCAGGTCTGGCAGGTGTTGGAGTGAAAGATCAGGTCTACACATTCAATTAAGCTGATTTAGCGCTAGAAGCATATGCACATGATTTTTCTTAACTAAAGATCAGCATCGGGTTAGAGTTAGATAAGGGTCAACAGCACTCAAGGAGAGTCAGACCTAGTTTGCTTGTGGCTATGTAGGGATTTTAGGCTGATTCCTCTTTTCACACTGCTCCCGGGTTCTGCTGTGCCTCGTACAGCAGGACCCCAGCATCTCAGCTTTCCAGAAGGTCTTAAGAATATATACGCTGGCATTAATATAGGCTGAGGCTGGAGCTCAGTATTTATGAACGTTAGCATATGGGGAAGTATTATTTTGCTCCTCTGAGAGTTATTTGGGAGGGTGTTGGTTTTTACTGTTTTTATGTATATTCTTATCACTATTGTGACCATATAAACTTCTTAAATCAATACATCTTTATTTGGATTGTCAAGTGACAGCATCGAAAAGTAGTCATTAGTAGCTGTTTTTCACCTTAGAAGAAAATATCCAAGGGAGTATCCATGGCTCTGTACTGATGTCTATGTCATGTAGCATTTTTATCAATGGTTTAGAATAGATGGTGAACTGATGGAACATTTATAAACTGCACCAAACTGCAAGGTGTGGCTGATGTTGAATGAGAGGAAATTCCAGAAACTCCAGACAAGCTTGAACTGTGTGTTAAAATGAAATCGATGGAATTTAACAATATGTTCTATACCAGGTAGGAAAAAGACACAAGTATAGGATGATGGAGATCTGACTTGGCAGTAGAACCCGTGAAAAGTAATTAAACATGAACCAATAGTGTGCTGCAAATTAAAATGGTGTTGTGGGGTACATTAGCCAGCCTAAAAAGCATATTGGGGGAAGTAATTTTTCCAACTTTATAGTGCCTGATCAGATTTCATGTGGAGTAGTGTGTCCTGTTCTACACACTGCAGCTTAAAAACAACAGGGGAAAAATGGAGCAAAAGGTGAAGGGTTACCCTATGAGTAATGTTAGAGAAGAAATAACAGAGATCCAAAAGCTGTCACTTAGATGAATGAGTAGATGTTTCTTTTGTTATTGAAAAAGTCAGGATTAAAACTGCAGTGTAGTTTATTAAAATTAGAGAAAGCAAATTCAGGCTAGACATTAAGGAGAAACTTTGAACTCTACAAGCTCTTGGGGAACAGGCTGACAAATAAAGTTGTGAGGTCTGCTTCCCTTGAGGTCTTCAGACAGGCTTGCATGGTCATCTGTTACAGTGGATCCTGTACTGCAGGGGTCCCCAACCACCGGGCCGCGGACCGGTCCCGGTCCGTGGAGCACTCTGTACCGGGCCGCAAAGAAAATAAAATAAAAAAAATGGCAGCTTTCTTCGCCTTCGGTGAATGCTGCTGGGATCAGGGATCAAGGACACAAATGAAAGAAGGGGAGGGAGGAAGCAACCAAAGCCTGTCCTGCTCTCCGGCTCAGCAGCTTCGGTTTCCTCCCGCCTCGTTCCTCTCTCAGTCGCTCTCTCGCTCCTCCACCAGCCCAGGAAGAAACTGCTTCAAAGAAGCCGGGGGGGGGTTGCTTTTCCTGTCGCCGCAACTCCTCCAAAGCGCCCGTTCACCCCCACCCCGCCCACGCGCGGTTCAATCCAGTGCTCCGTTCTGCCTGCCTGCCTGCCTTCGTTTCTGGTTGTTTGGGAACAGCTTCGGCTGAGAATAATAACTATTCGCCTCTTTTTATCAGCCGAAGCTGCTCCCAAACAACCAGAAACGAAGGCAGGCAGGCAGGCAGGCAGAATGGAGCACTGGATTGAACCGCACGCGGGCGGGCGGGGTGGGGGTGAACGGGCACTTCGGAGGAGGTGCGGCGACAGGGAAAGCCACCACCCCACCCCCACCACCCCGGCTTCTTTGAAGCGGTTTCTTCCTGGGCTGGATGTTAGAGGTCCATCGTAGCTCTGAATGATCCCTAAACAAGGACTACAGGAGCTTCCTAGGGAAAACACACTGACTAAATGCTCCTCATTAAATTCCTGTTTTCACCAAACAGAGATAAGAGAAACATCAGCATGAAATTTTGTAGCTACACAGCTGGGCAAGACCTAGAACTAGAGAGACTGCAGTCAGGTGTCTTTAATGCTAGTTGTAGGGTAAACATAAAGTTTTGGGAATGGAAAATACAAACCCCCCCCCCCCCCGCCGGTCCTTGAAAAAGTGTTTCTGCTTGAAACTGGTGCCTGGTACAAAAAAGGTTGGGGACCACTGCTGTACTGAACTGTGGAAATGATTAGATTATCTCCGAGATGGTTTTCAACTCTCTGTGATTCTTTGTGGTGTATGCTAAACCAGTCAGTAATTAAATTGTACTTATATTTCTGTGTTAGTGCTACTTTTAAAAAAATGAAGTGTCTTCTCTGTGTCTGGTAGCACTGTATATCACATCTATGTGATTGGTATTTCAAAAGATCAAAGCAATGAACTTCATTGTCCTTAAGTTCTGCTCCCTTGATGATGGATAAAAGTAGCTTTTGAAGTATAGAATAGGCATTATAGAATACCTGCTTGCCTGCCTGCTAAATATGGTGTAGTTTTCTGTGAATTTGTATCCAGTTTTATTTTCCAGCCAAGTCAGAAACTGCAAAATACTCTATCTTTGAAAGGAATGTGTTGATTCCTTTCAACACATTCCATGCTTCTTGAACAAAGACTTGTGGGAGCATCTAATCCTGTTTATAAGTGCATCTGGTACATCCCAGTAGATAATTGAGCATATTGACCTGGGGAAATCAGGTCTTCTTTACCATGGTATAAATATTTACTTGTGATCCTTTTCTTTAAGAGGTTTTATCAAGTCTTTATAAACAGGGTAACTTCATCATTTTAGCCCATGTTAAAAAAAAATGAACAAAGTGAGTAGAGCATATCTGGACCTGGATTTTAAATTTCAGGATTTAGTATCAATAACATGTTATGGCAAAACTGAACTAATATATAGAATTTCTCAAAGGCATTAAATTGTTTTGTTCCATTTTGATGGCAGTGCCACTGAAGAGCTATCAGGGAGTCCTCTGCTTCTGTTATGTTGTCCATGCCTCCCACAAACTTAGAGTGAAAGTTGGGAAGAGGCAATAAAGTTTCATCCAGTTGTCTTCTCTGATCAGAATGCTAATGGCATGGCTTTGGGCTGCACTGTTCATTGGCAAAATTAGCTGCTTGAGCGCAGCTAGTTCTTCCAGCATAAACAATGGCCATTACAGCATGCACTGGTTCTAGAAACTGAATTATTTGTGATCTGGATGAATATCTAACTCTTTCTCTGTCCTGTTAATTGGAAAGGTTGGAGAAAATTTTCATCAAGCTTGTCTTTTGAGGGAGATTAAACCACATACGTTCACAGACACCTTCCAGGCTCATGTTCCCGCTTGAAAAATGTAGACAAGTCAATTACATTTACTTAATCCATTCTTTTGCTCTTGGGCATTGAATTATTGAAGCAAATGCACCTAAATTTAAAGGTAGAAGTTGCATTGTCAAGAGTACTGTTAATGCAAAACTGCTTTCTATTCTGACTTTGCTTCTGCTTGAATTCCACAAAAGTGATGTGGAATTCATTTAAAACAAGCAACATCCTAGGAGGTTGTGCTTTTTGTTTTTATATTCAGTTGGTATAGATAAATTCTTATGCATCATTTGTCTAACCAATTGAATATAAGAATAAAAAGCACGACCTAGGATATTGCTTGTTTTAAGTTGAATTCTACATCAACTTTGCCTTCACCTCTGTCTTCAAATATATAGAAGAGTATTCTTTTGTGAAGATTTTATAGTAACAAGGTCAGGACGATCTCCTTAGTTGGTAGCAGTCTTTCTCATGTTTTTTTTTTTAATGTTGGGGGAACCATTGGAGGAACCATAATTTTCAGGTCTTAGGAGAACGCCTGCCTAAAAATATAAAAACCTCACAATCAAGTAATTTCTACCACTTTTATGACCTTTACAATAACAGGAAAGGAGCAGGCCCACCACCAAGTAGTATTATTTGAAAATTCCCACCTTTATCAGCTATAGTTCGAAAAACAATGTTTGTTTGTTTGTTTTGTCTATCATGATCTCTCGTAGAACCTCAGCTGGAAAAAAAAAAACTAGTCCAGAGTCTGGTTTTCATAAGTCAGGATTATCAAATGCCGCTGTTAACATGCTATTTTGTAAATAATGCTTCTTTGTCAGAAATGTGATTTTAAGTATTTAGCATAATATACAACGTAACAGTTGTTGGGTTTTGGTTTTTTTAAAGATCTCTATACACAAGTTTCTTATTTCTTAGAATATGGACAATTTGTTATAAATTTAATTGTTTTTCAATTCCTAATTATCTGGACAGAAGGGTGGATGGGACTATTTTGTATTCCTGTCATTGTTATCAACTTGCCAGAACAGGTGGTGCAATGTTAATCTGGATGTTCTCTTTACTGAAATGGCTATTCCCCTTTTCTTCCCCGCCTCCTTGTTTGTGTTGCCATAGGAGCTGAAACTGCCTGTCTACAAGGCCCATTCTCCGCAAATCGAAAGACGACGCTATTTTGCTCACCTCCTTACTGTCCTCAGCAGCCATTGCCAACTTTGTCCCATGGCTCGGCACCTTGCTGTTTACTTGCTGGACATTTTTATGGATCGCTATGATGTTACTGTGAAGCAGTTATATGTTGTCTCAATTGCATGTCTTCTCCTTGCAAGTAAGTCACCTTACCTAATGGTAGAGAAATCATGCAGTAAGATTTGGGTGGGGTCTTTCTCAAGTAAATGCACGAAGAAAGCCACTATAAATCGTGCAGTATAATGCATCAAGAGATGGTTGCTTTTAAGACAGTATTTCAGTAATCTTTGGCTTGGATTTTTTAGTGATGTCTTCAGTTTCTTGTAGCACAGAATGATTGTTCAAATTACAGGTAGTCCTTAAGACCAGTGTTCATACTATAACCATTGCAGCATTCCCATGATCAGAGTAGGGGTGCTTGGCAAATGGCATGTATTTATGACGGTTGTAGTTTCCTGGGGTCATGTGATCAATCACATTTTGCAAATCTTCTAACATGCAAAGTCAATGGGGAACCAGATTCATTTAATAGCCTTGTTACTAACAAGTGCAGGGATTCACTTAACTGTTGCACGAGAGGTAAAATGGGGCAAAACTCAGCTGTCTTGCTTAGCGATAGAAATTTTGGGCTCAATTGTAGTCATAAGTCAAGGACTACCTGTACAGTCCAGAACAACCAGAACTACACTAAAGAATGTTATGTATTCGGTGTGGTGGCCTTTAGATAGTCTTGTAATGACACGAAAGCTGTTTTTACCCACTATATTGCTATGATACTGGAAGACCTAAAGTAGAAGTTAAGCTACCCTTGTATTTGTGGCTAAAAATCTCCCAGACTTGTTAACCATTGACCATCCTGTCTGGTGCTGCTGTGAATTGTAGTTCAGCCACCACCTGCTTCCCCATGGCCTGTCTAACTCTGTAACGCATCCTTATAAGTCTTTAGAGGTAGTGCAGACATTTTAACAGATTGTCTAAGCAAACATATTTCAAGGTTGTAACAGGTTTTTTTTTCAGGTTGTTAATTCCTTGTTGGAAAGCTGTCATGGTCCTAAACAAATGAAATGCACACAAAACCATTTTGAGCAGGCTTTTTTAAGGAGAGTGTTGCCTATAGTTATTGGTGCAGTTAGATTTCAAAAGACCAATCTGAAAAGGTGGAGATAAGCAACAGCTAATAAAACAACAAACACAAGCGAAGGGATCAGTGTGTCTTCTAGTATTCATTGTCCGCCCTTTGTTCTCTGCTCCCATAGAACATTTTTTACATGTTGATTTTGACCCCCACAAGCTAGAAAAATGCTGATTGCAAATGTGTGAAACTTAAGGAAGAAGAAGGAAAAAACACTTTTCTAATTTTTTATTAATATAGAACAGGACCAGAGTTTTTGACATTCATACTTCTATAGTATCAGTAATCCTCTAGTGAGACTCTGATTCATTTCTTGAGAAACCAGAATTCTGGCTTGTTGGGAATGTACAAGCTGTGGTGTACTCTGGACTTTAAGACAAAACTCTTTGGCTGTCGCCTACTGTTCTGAATATGGAAATGGGATATTTTCATCTGTATTATTATTAGCTCATTAGATAATTCTGAAACCTGGATGACGTGCTTTTGGGGGACTCTACAACAAAAAGGAACAACTGGAAGATTAGAAGCCATGGCCAATTATCTAGAGTTGCCAGATCTGGGCTCCAAGTATCTGTGCATCTATTAGATAATAGCAAAGAGGTCCAAAAATGCTAAATCTTTGTTCCCATCTAGTGATTGTTTGCAGAGCAGTTCTAATACAGGTAGTGCTCAACTTACAACAGTTCACTTAGTGACTGAAGTTACAACAGCACTGAAAAAGGTGACTTGTGACCATTTTTCACATTTATGACCACTGTAGCATCCCCATGGCCACATGATTTATATTCAAATGATTGACAACTGATTCACATTTATGACAGTTGCAGTGTCCTAGAGTCTTGTGATTCCCTTTTGCAACTTTCTGACAAGCATTTAATAGAGAAATCAGATTCACTTAACAACTGTGTTACTAATTTAACCACTGCAGTCATTCACTTAACAAAGGTGGCAACAAAAGTCGTAAAATGGGGCAAAACTTAACAAATTTCTCACCTAGCAACAAGGTTTTTACTGTCACCACCCCCCCTTCCCCCCCCCCCCCGAGCTCTTTTGAGGATGGATGCAGATGCTTTGCTATTAAATTTTCCTTCTCTCCACCCCGTATTTTTATGCTTGATTGCTTTGATTTTTATACATTGCAAAGTTTGGAAATTATCAGGCAAACCTTACAGTGTATTTATTTTTAACTTCAATGTTTCAAAGAAAGAAAGGCTAAATTTATGTAGTAGCTATTAATGTTGCAATATTTTAGAGTAAATATTTCCAAATTCCTGCACAATTAAGAAAGAATGCATCATCATTAAGCCTTTATATTGGTTGTGTTTAGCTAGCATTAAAAAAATCATGCTGCAAAAAAAAATCCTTCCCTTTCATGCTTCAATTACCCACAATGCTTGAATTTGAAACTGGGATTTGTCTAAAGAGAAAAGGTAGAACGTGGTCTCAGATCCATCTTATATCCACAAATTCAGACATGATGGAACTGTGGTTTGTTTTTATAGCAGAAAAAAAATTATCGGCCTCTTGTATCCACGAGGACTAATGAATCTACAGATGGCTTAAACATATAGTATGATGGTATAAGATGGATATGGGCCTTGAATCAATCTCCTTGTGTTCATCTTTCCTTAGGCAAATTTGAAGAGAAGGAAGATAAGGTGCCCAAACTAGAGCTGCTGAACAACTTTGCTTACATGTGCAGCCTTAATCTAATGCTTACGAAAAAAGACCTACTGAAGATGGAACTGTTGCTCCTGGAGAGCTTCAATTGGAACCTGTGTCTGCCAACCCCGGCACACTACATTGACTATTACCTCTTCGCCTCTGTCAGTGCGGGTGACCTCCACAAAGGCTGGCCCATCACATCTGTCACTAAGTTCAAAGCCATCATGGAGAAATATTCTCACTTGTTCCTAGAAGCTTCACTGCAAGGTAATAATCGGGTCCTGGTTAGGAGCATTTGAGGTGTAGGAAATCTCCTAGTCGCCTTGAGGACTAAAAGAAAGTGTAATGTTACCAGAAGGGATTAAGGCAGGGATTCCCCAAGCTGTTCAACCCATCAACCCCTTCATGAAATTTCAGACAGTTCATTGATCCCATATCACATGAATAGAATAGAATAGAATAGAACAGAACAGAACAGAATAGAACAGAACAGAACAGAACAGAACAGAACTTTATTACGGTCTTAGATCAGCAATAGACATCACTATTTACAATATATATATAAAAATACTGACACATAATATATTAATGGTGGCCCATATTATATGAAAATAATGCTGTACATACTACTGAGTATTACTATGAATGAATAGAATAGAATACTTTATTGGCCAAGTGTGATTGGACACACAAGGAATTTGTCTTGGTGCAAATACTCTCAGTATACACAAAAGAAAAGATACATTCGTCAAAGAGTCAAGAATCATAAGGTACAACACTTAATAATAGTCATAGGGTACAATAAGGACAACCATTCAGATAGTCTCATCGAGTTTTCGGGATCAGTGTTGACTTTGGAAAACCCTGAAGAGGCCAATCATTTAAGCACATTTTTAAATAGGAGTGTGAGAATGGGAAGGAAAAGCCACTAGGAGGCAGTGTTATGCCTCTAACCATTTTAGAAAAACTCATCAATCCATGATTCAGCTCTATGATCACAACTTTGGCGAATTTTGATTCTTGGGTTTTTTCAACGTAGAGGTAATGCAAGACTGAAGATAGTTAAAAAGCACATTTTATCAGTTCTTCCTATGCTATTAAAGAATGTAAAGCACCAAATAGTGATTTACCTGTTATAAAGTATCAGCAGAGTGATCAGTTGCATGTTTCCTTGACAATGAATTTTGTTGGTAGTATTCAAAGGACCCAACTCACTAAGTCAGCTATTCATTCTCCTGTGCAGCTACCCACATCACATGATTGTCAATGTCGTGTGAAATGAGGGGGCAGAATTGCTAGGCATTGGGCAGCATATAAATTTAACATGTTATTGGTAATTCCAACGTTTTCCAATATTGCAAAGGAAACTGAGAAGCTGTCAACTCTTTTCCTCACCCTCCATAAAAGCAAATTTTAAAATTTTCAGCAGTCTGAACATTGGAATTCAGGGAGAAGCTCAGACAGACCTTTTCATTTTTAACTTCCCTCCATTCAGCCAAGAGAGTGGGGGGTGGGGTTTTTTGCAAAATATCACACATTTCTGGAGCAGTCCTAGCTTTGCAGGGCATTCCAGAAGCCTCACCGTTTGGACAGCATCGGAATTTGGTTTAATTTTTAAGTAAGCATGCTCATGTTTGCAGTGTTAGAGGTCTAAATGAAGCAGTAAATTAAAGGAAGCCTATTTAAGAGCATTTTTCATACCATGAGATATTATCTAGCACACCAAGAGATTTCATGATGTTCCTTGCAAACAGGCATGACACCTCAGTATTAATCAGTTTTGTCCCAAAGAGAATTCATGTTTAAACAGCAGTCTTATATGTTTGTTTCTTCTCTTTCCCCTGTTCCCCTCCCCCACCCCCCAGATCATGTTTTTCTCTCTTTTCGGCCTTCTCTGGTTGCTGCTGCTTGTGTGGGTGCCTCCCGCGTCTACCTTGAGATGTCTCCCCCATGGACCACACAGCTTCAACTGCTGACATGTTATTCCTGGGAACATCTTGTTCCTTGCATTGAACTCCTGCTTGGGTAAGTTTCAAAGTGAAGTAGACCATTCTCCTGAGCTGCCAATACAGTGTTATGGAGCAGACAATTGCCGTGTTTGGATCTAAAGTAGGCAGGAGTGGGTTCCTTGTCCATTGGCTGCTCCCACAAAGAAATTATAGCCTTTTCTGGTCTCAAAGGGGAGTTGCATGAGCCCAGGAAAATAGGTGCAAATTAGTTAAAAGGATTTGCTATTGGTGATTAATCTTCAGTGACTTACTGTATGCTTGCATTCGGAAATAAAATGTTGGACTATAGATAGGGGCACTGTTGTTGCCCTGATCCAAGATTTTACTGAGTGACACTTCCTCTTGAATGATGTAGTTCCTGCTCCCATTGTCCTAAGCCTTTGCAGTGTGTTAATATAGTAGGTGATATTATGTGTTAATATAATAGATTCCTGCATAGATATTTGCCACATCAGCAAATTGATGGGCAACTTTTAAAATAAATTCTTAGCACACCATAACTCTAGTTCATCAGTTTCTCTTTCCTGAACTTGAAATAAGAGAATGTAAATGGTATTTAGCTATAAAATTACTGAAAACACAAAATATTCAGGAATTTTAATTTTTCTCCAGCAGCATATGGGTTATTATGGGGAAGTTTGTTTATTCAGCAACCAAATTTCATATTTTTTTAAAAAGAAAATTGCATTTAAAATTATAACCGAAAAAAACCCAAAAGGTCAAAGCAAAAGATAAACACATTATGAAAAATATATAACACACTTAAAAATATGTAAATAAATAAAATATAAACTGTAACTTGTAACAACAGTTACAATTTTATATAATCTAATATTTATATTACATGTAATATTATATTACAATCATGCTTTTTAAAAATCTAATGTACTTTGCTGAATGAGTCCTATATTTCATTGTATTTATCCTTACAAAGTCTATGTCTATAAGCAATCCCCTCATAGGTAGCAAGTGTAATTATGTCTTGAATCTATTGAATAAATGAAGCCATCTTTCCAATGATGTAATGTCAATCTTTTAGTTGTAATATAGCACAGAGAGTTCATTCATGTTGTCCATTTGTCAGATTCTGTGTACTAGATATGTAATTCAAGAGAATACTAATCTCTGAAAATATTAGCTGTTTGTTGTACAGTCAGATTTAGAAGTACACCACTATTTTCTCACAAAATGTAGTATGTTAAGTATAGGGTAATGGAAAAAGATGTGTTTTTATTTCCAACATAATGCTCTCCTGGACAGTTTTCAATACAAATGTAATGGAGTCCAATTATATTTTTGTTGTATAAGTCATAGTTTAAGGTCCACTGACACACTAGGTATAGAAGTTAAGACACTTTCCCATTGTCTAGGTAATACAGAAATTTCTAACTTTGTAGTTTATTAATCTCTTAGCATCTGTATATAAAATTGATTTACGGATAACATATATATAGAAACTAATTGTACATGTTAAAAGATTTAACCAGTTCTATTGCCTTATAGGGTATCTGGGAAGCTGGAAATACTTTTGTCCAATGTTGTTAACAAATGTAGCTATAAATATTGTTCCTGAGTTAAATCTGATAAATGATACTTGCCAATAAAGGAGAATATTTGTAGCTCAGAAGTGACAAGAAGGGTCTTTGGTGCTCTCTGAGCTTTTTTTTTTTTTTTTTTTGGCTGATATTTGATTACCCAAGCTAGGTGACATCATCAGTGCTAGTTGATACTTGTTTCTTAGCACAGCATATGTTAATTAGTTTCACATTTCTTTTCAAAACATAGTTTGATTGTGTTTTTTATTTATTTTCTCCTAGCAAAGTTCACAGTAAGGACCCCAGAGAAGACACACGGGACAAGGATTCCCTAAGCCTGTTGCAACAGCAGCAGCAGCAAATTATGGAAAGCCTAAACCTCCAGACGCCAACTCACGTTCTCTTCCAACAGCCACAGTACCACCCCCTGCCCCAGCCCTCAGCTGTCCTGTCACAGTTCTGTTCTCCGATACAGGATCTGTGCTCCGCTTATCGGGACTCCCTGCAAGCTCCTCGATCCAGTGGTCTCAGTTCAGGGAGTAGTATGCTGAGTACTTACTCCGCCCTGCAGGAGAATTTCCAACCTGTTTTGCAGACCATGTCTCTCCAAGGGCCAATCGCGATGCAGGTAGCCATTTCAACAGAATCCAGGCATTGCCTCTCATTGGTCTATGGCAGCAGCTACTTCAGCAGGCATCACTCATACACAGCAGGCTGTTTTGATGGTTGAGCGCCTATGGAAAAAGGTAGCCAGAGAGAGGCAGGATGTTTTGCCAGGAAAACATAGGAGCACACAAACCAGATCGCCCATGTAACTATCAGCAGGATCTCTATGACGAAATGGCTGAACAAAAAACAGATCCAACTCACAAATGAATTTTGATTTCTCAGTATGTGTGCTTTGTAAGGAAGCAAGACTTTAAGAAAAAAAATTAAAAAAATATACCTCACTGATTTGCCAGGCTTCATTTTGAGGGAGGAAGACCTGGAAAAGCTACTTCCATAAGACAAACTTTTGCTGTAAGGTAACTTCCCTGTGGCACATGTGTATAGTTGCTTCCCTGATGAGTTTTGCAGGTGGATGATTGTAGTTTTTAGGCCTGGAACCTTCTATTGGTGATAAAAAGTCCAGTGTTTGTTGCACTCACCTTGATCTCTCTCTCTCTCTCGATCTCTCTCTGGCAGAATACTTTATGAAGAAACTTCCTTGTTGCTTATTGGAAAATTCGCACAGCAATATATTAAACATGAAAATAGGGAGAGAAACACTTTGAACTTTCTGAATACATTTAGTAGGTTAAGTGCCACTTGAGTTTCATATGTATAGTATTTTTAATTGCCTTTTTAAAGTACCTCTAGATATTTGAGATGCTGCTGCCTTATATCACAAACAGTCATTTGTTGAGAAAATATGGTTTACAAGTTATATCAGGGATTAATGTTTACTTGAAGCAGTCCACTGTAAAGAAAAATAGTTAAATCCCTTGATTTTTGAGGGAACTGCTGCCTTTTATTGTAGGATGTTAGGAATTTAGAAAAGTAGACAAAAACATAGAAGGACTCTTAAAAAACTAAAGAACTCTTAAAGGGTTCAAGAATAAAGAATGCAAGGTTAATAGAAGGTGATCAAACAACTGAAAAGTTGCATTCCTAAAAAGTTACTAACTGGAATAATACTATAAATGACTATTGAGATAGGTTGCCATGCAAGCTATTTTCAAGACAATACATAAATCAACATGACAAAGTAAATAACAATTCACTTTGAATATTAGCATTTAAAGCAAGGAATGAACCACCATGATAAGAAAGCTAATCTCTATCTACAAATGCTTCTCTAGCACCTTGACTTGGTTCTTTCTAGCTGGACTCCAGAACTAGGAAGTACTGTAAGTTTTGAAAAGAGGAGAGAGATAAACATTAGCAGAAAATAATTGATGGAAATGGGTGGGCTACAGTACCGTGCCCCCACCACTGATTCTCTTCTAAAAATATAGATTTGACAACACTTTGCCAGATTTTGCCTTGCCCCAGTGCTCCAATATTTCTATATAAACGTACTTTAGAATCATGGCCTTAAACAATTTTGTATGATTAAGTTTTGTACTAGACTTGTGTGGCTCCAATTTCAAAATATGTTGAAGGTGTCTACTGTGTGAATTTGCCACTTGATGTGGAGCTATTGTCACTAAATGACAGTATTTTTATGGAATGTTTCTCAGGATTGCAATAACTATGTGCAATATGCTTTTATTCTATCGAATATATAGAGTTTGTGTTGTTGAGAATGCAGTGGTAAAATGTTAATTGTTCATTTTGCTTTAAGTTATGATTTTCAGAGAGAAAGTGAAGAATTTCTAAATGAAGAAGGGAATGCTGCTTTTAATGTAGGGGAAGAATGTTTCCTTTTATTGAAAAGTCTAGTGACTGGGCTTTCCCGCTTTTGATGATAACATATGTAGCAAGACAAAGTTGGAAATGTTTTTGTATGGATTTTCTTTCTGTGTTAGAAACATCTTTGTCAAAAATTGTAGCTGGACTTGTACGTTACCTTTTATGTATTTATATACAACTTTTTAACTACAACATTTAAGCAGACAGTAGTCACTTAATTGTATAAAAACCACTGGAGAAGCTCAAGCTTATAGAATTTGGCCTGGTTATTTCATGACATCCTGTAAAGATGTTTTTGTGTATTGAAATTTTCTGTTTCTGTCTTTAAGAAGTTTATTGAATAAACAGCACAAAACGTTAATGGTCTTGTCTCCTTTTGGGTGCTCATAATCTTCATAGGCTGTGCTACACCCTTTAATCAAATGTCTCCAGTTCCTTCCATACCTGTAATAAGCTTCATAGTGGTAGGAGGCAAACATTAAATTAATCTAGAAGCTATCCAATGACTCTAGTGGTTTGCCCTGTAAAAAGTAATAAATAATAAGACCATCCACTTCAGGAAGAAACATACACAACATGCCAAATATAAATGAAAGACTGAACTTACTAGGCCTGGGAGAACAGTCAGGTTTTCAAAGACATACAGATCTCGGGCCAGTGCTGCTCTAGAAAGTATACAACACAATAGAAGAGAAGGCCTTTGAACCTACTAATTTATTGAAGAAGCAGGCTTTCTTTTGATGTTGCTAAATATGTGCAAGTTTGCCATTGCAAAGGTGCACACTATACAACATATGTATCCTAGGAAAGCCACCTCTTGACCTGTTTTAGCATCTGATTAACTCCACTTTGCAAATAGACATTCAAGACTTCACCAAGTCACTTATAATTAAAAATAATTGAGTTGCTTTCCAATTTAGTTTCCTGGAAGCAGTTCTCAATTGTGCAAATAAGGAATTAAATTCCACTTCTAGCTGATGAGAACAAAGGAATCTCAGCACTGCAATAGAGCACTTTTAAATAGAATGCAAAGCCTTCTCTCATGTTATATTTGCAGCTCAGAATTTCTACTCAAAAGCAACTATTATCAAACACAGGTTCTTTTTATTAGCTTACTGAAGTTAGCATCTATTCATGATGCCTGAGTACACTTGTTGCTATCAGTTGTACATTATATCAATGAACAGCTCATTAGTATAAAAAACTAGTTCCTGAATATGAGCAGGGAGTGGAGAGAGAAATGGGTATTCTTTCCTGAATCCTGTAGAGCTAGGAAGCTTTGCTTACATGGTGTTCCTATTTTCAGGAGACAAAAGGAACAATTGCTAAATTGACAGCTATGAAAATTTTTATGGAAAATTATGTCCTATCTAAAGAAGTTCCTAGTGAGGTTTTCTGGAGCCAATTGGTAGCAACACTGAAGACTGAGTTTCTGGCCAATCCAGACACCCAGTGTCTGTACTTTGTTCTATCTAAGCCATGGGTGTCAAACCCAAGGCTCGTGGGCTAGATTCAGCCCGCAAGGTGCTTAGGTCTGGCCCACAGTGTGCCCTGGAAACAGCAAAGAACTGGCCCGCAGAGCCTCTGTAGCCCTCCTGGGCCCTATTTTTGGATGCGACAGCCTCCTGCAGCCCTCTGCCAGTGGAAACAGGGCCCAAGTTCCATTTTCGCTGGCAGAGAGATGGAGGCCATCATGGCCAAAAATGAGGCCCTGGGGGGGCAAGCACGCCCCCCCCCCACGCTCCATTTTGCTGGCAGAGGGCCAGCAAAAGAAACTAAAAGCAAAACAGCAAAAAATGTTTCCCCTTTTGCATTTCAGCATGTTTCCCCTTTTGCATTTCAGCATGCAAGAAGGGACAGGAAAGGAGAAAGGGAAAGAGGAAAGGCAAAGAAAAAGAAAAAGAAGGAAAGGTGGGAAGTGAGCAAGGAAGAAAAAATACGGAAATAGGGGAAGTAAGAAGAAAGGAGAATGAAGAGGGAAGGAAAAAGAAGGAAGGAAGATTATAATGAGAGGGAGGGAGGGTCTAAGGCAAATAATGCCTTAGCACTTGGCCACCACAGGTGACCCTGACAGGAGTGGTGTCAAACTGGCCACGCCCCCCCATCCCCCCCATCCCAAGGTCAAACAACCCTGATGCGGCCCTCAATGAAATTGAGTTTGACACCCCTGATCTAGGCACTTGAGAAGAGATTTATGTTCCCTTATGTGGCATTCTTCTTTTTCAAAAACTAAAACTGATAGGTCCTCATGCATATGGAGATTGGTAAGAGACAAAGAAGAGAGAGATTGAGGGGCAATGGAAGCAAATTACAAAGAGCTTTCCTTTTCCCAAGATCTAGCTGTAAATTCAACTATGGCAGACAGAAATGTAAGAAGGCAAAAGGACAATTATCAAATGAAGCCTTTTTACAGTTTGGTTAGGCATTAGTGAAAAAACATGTGGAAAAGGTAACTAGAAATTATAATTATAATCAACTGATAATATTGAAATGATGATGAAATGACGATAAAAGTGCTTCCAGATATGTGATATTATTCCAATAGACACTTGATATCAATGTTATTATCATCAATTCATTTAAAAGATTTGAAAGAAAAAAAAAAAGCAGGGAGATGTAACCCTATCTTATCGGATTCATGCTTTTTTTTCTCAAAAATTCTGCCTTTGGTCCTAAACTGATATCATTTTATGCAACAAAGAATTGTTCTATAACATTTGGTTCATGGCGTTTGAAGAAACACAGAAGCTAGAAAAGATAATTCCAGAAGATGGCAGGAATACATTTCCTGAATTTCATCTCAAGCATTAAGCTTCCCAGAAAGAAGAGTTGCCAAGAGATTATTTGGAACACAACCAGTTATGTTCTTTCTTTTTTCTGTAATAGTTATTTTCTGAGGGGAAATTAAAGCAATGCTTTATGTTAGCAAAAGAAATGAAGATATGGAGAAAATCTGAAGAAGTGACATTACAATTTTAGTACATGAAAGAAGCACAGAGTATAAAGCAGTCTATTGCCAGAGGATAGCTTATTGAAAATGTAATAACAGCAGGAATCTTACATGGGACCCTGATTCCAACGCTTGGATTGTTTCCCTAGCCACCTTTTCAATTAAATCTCTAGATTGATGTAACACCCCATAATAAGTTACGGACCAGATGAACCTCAGAGTCTATGAATTGTCCCTGGCTATGATGTAGCATAATTACATCTACCACCAGGGCAGGGAGAAGGGCAAATTACCAATTTGTACTCTGCCCCCCACCAAAATAATATTTGGGTCCTCATCACCAGATTAATGCTGAAGTCTCTACATACTTACATCTTGGGTATTAGATTGGAGGCAATATGGTGATCAATCAAGGAGTTAATTCAAACAGTGAACCTGGATAAATTCTCTGAACTAACATCATAGTATTTCATATTTGAAAAGAGCCTAGGATTGTGTATACGTTTCTACTAGAGAAAGAATGTGACAGGATTTACACATCACACTAAACCATCTCTATCTATCGGACCGGATGGAATATGTGCCTACTTCTTAAGAAAGCTATCCACTGCCATAGCCAAACCTCTAAGCATAATCTTTGAAAAATCTTTCAGGACCAGCTCCTTGCCAAACCTATGGTCACAAGCCACAGTCATCCCCATCTTCAAAAAGGGAGACCCAAGCCTAGTTGAAAATTACAGGCCAATCTCCTTATGCTGCGTCACCTGTAAAGTCATGGAATCAATCATTAACCAATCCATCATCCTCCACTTAGAGACAAACAACCTACTCTCCAATAAACAATTTGGTTTCAGAAAAAAACTATCCTGTAATCTACAACTCTTACACTGCAAAAACATATGGACGACACAACTCGACCAGGGCAAAGCAATAGACGCAATCTACATAGACTTCTGTAAAGCCTTTGATTCAGTGGTACACGACAAACTACTCCTAAAAATAAAATCCTATGGTATCTCTGGACAACTGAATAACTGGATAGAAGCATTCCTGTCAAACAGACAACAAATGGTCAAAATCGGAAGCGTCCTATCAAATCCAGTACCTGTCAATAGTGGTGTCCCCCAAGGCAGTGTTCTAGGACCAACTCTCTTCATACTCTACATAAATGACCTCTGTGATCATATTAAGAGCAATTGCGTTCTCTT